CACATATTTCATTTTAAATTTCCGGGGCCGTTACACGAAGAGTCGTAGGACGAAGGTGGAGAAGCATTCAACGGACCAGATGAAGAACTCGCAGACTGCGACGCCATTTTTAAATTTTCAAAAGCCGATAATGAGACCGTCACCTTCCTCCTCCGCCACCGATAATCGTCCCTCTCCTTCACCAATTACTACCAGAGACCTGAAAGCGAAAACGAAAATACAAAGAGCACTAGTCAGTCGCTTTTCATGGAGTATTTCTCTCTCACTGTCTGCCTGGCGCCATTGGAGCACACGAGTTACTCTCTGGTTCTCTTAAGTCGGTAGTCAAAAGAGGTCGAGCTTACGGGAAGACTGTGCGTTTATATAACAAATGACACGCGTGGCGAGACGCGCCCGGATGTTTCTCTCGCACGTTAACTGGAAGTGGGTCCCATTCCTAGGAATATCTATCTCCCGCTTCGTTGTCGGAGTCGGGCGGGTTCTGTCGGATTACGTCACCCTGAAAGTTCTACCTTGTCTTGATTGGAATCCGATATTCTTCCTCAAAAGAAAAAAAAAATTAAATGAATATTAATTAATCAATTATAGTTATTTAAAAAATAATTTTTTATTTAAATTATAATAAATTTTAATTTCTTCGATATAATTCTATCGATACACTTAATATAATATTAAACATTATCCTAACTGCAAATTTAAAATTTCAAGTCATATAATAATATCACGAAAACTATTAATTTAAATTTGTATCATAATTTTAATAAGATTTTTTTTAATATAGTAATGTATATGCTTCTAAATATTTAAATTAAAAATATGTATTTTATAATTTCGATATGACAAATAAATGTTTGATCCAGTAAAATAAAATAATTTATAATAAATACATAAAAATAGAATATAAAATATAATTTTTATTTTTATTAAACTTTTAATTTACAAATTTTTAAAAAAGAATTTTGATGTATTTCGATTCTAACTTTTTCATTTCATCGGCTATCAATTCAATCTAATTTGTTTTTTAAAAAAATTAAATTTTTTATGTTGTAATTAACGTATTTCAATATAAAATATTTATATGTAAGGAAATAACTTAACTCGGCATACAAAAATTCAAGTATAATATGTAACGCCCGGAAAAAAATGGGGAAAAAAAAAAGCGCCACGTCAGCAGACCCAGTCAGCAGTCCTGGCCAACCAGGACCTGCCACATGGCAAAATCACATCGACCGGGGACGAGCCACGTTGGCGATCCGCGTACACGCGATCGGACGGCCCAGATCAAGCGTGCGCACGGACGGCCCAGATGCAATCGCACGGACAGCCCAGATTCAATCAAAAACGGACGGCCCAGATTAAATCAAAATGGACGGCTGAGATCAAAAGACAAAAGGGTATAAATAGAACCCCCACACCAGACCACAAAACCCTAGCCGCCTGCCCTCGCCGGAGAAGACGAACCAGAAGCCGGCCGCTGCCACCCGCCACCGTACCGGGGAGATTTCCGACCGCCGATCGAGGTTGACCGGAGCCGAATCACCAAAACACGAACCTCACCGGAGAGCTGCCGCACCCGAGAGCACCACCGCCGGTAAGCTTCAGTTTTCCGTAATTTTTTGGCCCCCCGAGGGCCGTAGGGTTGTTTTATCGCAGGGACCAATGCGAGTGTGGCCGAATTCGGCCGGAAACGGCCAAAAACGGCCAACCCGAGGCGAATCGCCGCCGCAAGCGGCGGCGCCGTCGCCGGAGCACGGCGGAGCCGCCGTGCCGAAAATGCGATATTGGCCAAAAGGGTCCTTGGACCTAATTTGAGATTTTTTGGAACACGTGCAAGTACCGTTAGTGCGTTTCAGTTCCCCGGAAAAAATTCAGGAAAAATTGGGGACAGCTTGTAGGCGCACTGTGAAGCCGTGTTCGGACCCCTAAATGAGTAAGGACCCCTCACCCTATTTTCTATCACGGTATTAAAGTTCAATAATGATAAAACGGTATTTCTTGAATCAACGAATGTGTAAAATTGCTTAAGGTCGCTAATAGAGCCCGAGTCTAGTGTGTTTGTCGGTTAACTGTGATTTGGCCTGTTTTACAGTTTTAAATGCAGTAAGAGATTTAATGTTTTTATTTTATAGTTTCGTGTGCATATTTTACTGTTTTATTGATTATGGGTTGAATGACTGAGATACCGATGTTGTATGTTGTCTGTTTGGCATAAATTACTGCTTTACCTGTTTAAATGTGAATTGATGATGCTGAATGAGGAAAATGAGAATGAAAGATTGTGTAGATTGATAATTGTATGATGTGCTCAGCCTGACTTGATATCCTGGGAGATGGTGGACGGACCGGGTCCGTAGGGGACCCTACCGGGATTGTTGTCTCTCATACCGGACGGGGTATGGAGATCTAAGGT